CCCTGCGCGCCCCCCAGCAGCGAGCACCTGGCTCCGCCGGTGATTGCTGTGTCCTACGGACACAGCTGATCATGGTATATGGTAAATGGCCAATCACGGTGGCCTTTTACCACGTGATCAGCTGTGTCCACTGACACAGCGATCACCGGGTAAATACAGTTGCCGTTTTTTTTCGGCTGCACTTAAAGTACTGCCGAGAACCGGAAATTGTCAGCGAAGGGATCTGCACTGATGATCAGTGCCCAGCAGTACCACCCACCTGTGCCCAGCAGTGCCGCCCACCTTTACCCATCAGTGCCACCCACCTGTGCCCATCAGTGCCACCCACATGCCCTGCAGTGCCACTCACCTGTGCCCATCAGTGTCACCCACCTGTGCAACTCAGCAGTGCCACCCACCTGTGCCCTCCAGTGCCACCCACCTGTGCCATCAGTGCCACCCACCTGTGCCCAGCAGTGCCACCCATCAGTGTCGCCGATCAGTGCTGCCCATCAGTGCCAGCTCATCAATGCAACTTATCAATGCTGCCTATCAGTGCCCATCAGTGCTGCCTATCCATGCCACCTCATCAGTACCTATCAGTGCTGCCTATCCGTGCCCATCAGTGCTACCTATCAGTGCTCATCAGTGCTGCCTATCAGTGCAGCCTCATCAAAAAATTCTGAGTCCTCCCCCACCCCCCTTTACAGTGAGAGCAATAATTCTAGCACCAGACCTCCTCCGTAATACTAAACTGACAACTTATAGGGGGCTTTTGAAGTGTTGCCTATAAAAAATATAGGGTACTCAAGTTTGCCACCATTTCATGGGCGCACACAGATTTAAGGTTTGACATGCTGGGTATCTATTAACTTGGTGCAACTTCATCTTTTATATTTAACCAACAATTCTGATAATTTATTGTGTTTGTTTGCCCTAAAATTCACACAATGTGTTTTTTTACTGAAGTGTTGCATTTCCTAGACCTTTGCAGTAATATTGCATGAAATAAACAGTTGGAACTACCACTGTTTCATTTTCTAGGGTGTATGCTTTCAGAAAATATATGTTTTGGGGGTTTTAGGTAATCCACAGGCCTAAAATGATTTTTTAAACATGTGTGCAAAAAAAAAAAATAAAAAGCAAAATTGGTTCTGGCAACAAAAGGGTTTAAGGTTAACAGGTGCTATTGCACCTACTGAGAAAAACTTCACCACACACCTGCTCCCTTCTGCCCTCTTAGTCCTCATGCGCACTGGATGTTTTTATAGTTGTTGTTTTTGGCTTATGATGTTTTTTTTTCTACAGCCAGTAAACCCCCCAGCATGCTATCCTATACAGTCAGGTCCATAAATATTGGGACATCGACACAATTCTAACATTTTTGGCTCTATACACCACCACAATGGATTTGAAATGAAACAAACAAGATGTGCTCTAACTGCCGACTGTCAGCTTTAATTTGAGGGTATTTACATCCAAATCAGGTGAACAGTGTAGGAATTACAACAGTTTGCATATGTGCCTCCCACTTGTTAAGGGACCAAACGTAATGGGACAATTGGCTTCTCAGCTGTTCCATGGCCAGGTGTGTGTTATTCCCTCATTATACCAATTACAATGAGCAGATAAAAGGTCCAGAGTTCATTTCAAGTGTGCTATTTGCATTTGGAATCTGTTGCTGTCAACTCTCAAGATGAGATCCAAAGAGCTGTCACTATCAGTGAAGCAAGCCATCATTAGGCTGAAAAAACAAAACAAACCCATCAGAGAGATAGCAAAAACATTAGGCATGGCCAAAACAACTGTTTGGAACATTCTTAAAAAGAAGGAATGCACCGATGAGCTCAGCAACACCAAAAGACCCGGAAGACCACGGAAAACAACTGTGGTGGATGACCGAAGAATTCTTTCCCTGGTGAAGAAAACACCCTTCACAACAGTTGGCCAGATCAAGAACACTCTCCAGGAGGTAGGTGTATGTGTGTCAAAGTCAACAATCAAGAGAAGACTTCACCAGAGTGAATACAGAGGGTTCACCACAAGATGTAAACCATTGGTGAGCCTCAAAAACAGGAAGGCCAGATTAGAGTTTGCCAAACGACATCTAAAAAAGCCTTCACAGTTCTGGAACAACATCCTATGGACAGATGAGACCAAGGTCAACTTGTACCAGAGTGATGGGAAGAGAAGAGTATGGAGAAGGAAAGGAACTGCTCATGATCCTAAGCATACCACCTCATCAGTGAAGCATGGTGGTGGTAGTGTCATGGCATGGGCATGTATGGCTGCCAATGGAACTGGTTCTCTTGTATTTATTGATGATGTGACTGCTGACAAAAGCAGCAGGATGATTTCTGAAGTGTTTCGGGCAATATTATCTGCTCATATTCAGCCAAATGCTTCACAACTCATTGGACGCCGCTTCACAGTGCAGATGGACAATGACCCAAAGCATACTGCAAAAGCAACCAAAGAGTTTTTTAAGGGAAAGAAGTGGAATGTTATGCAATGGCCAAGTCAATCACCTGACCTGAATCCGATTGAGCATGCATTTCACTTGCTGAAGACAAAACTGAAGGGAAAAGGCCCCAAGAACAATCAGGAACTGAGACAGTTGCAGTAGAGGCCTGGGAGAGCATCACCAGGGATGAAACCCAGCGTCTGGCGATGTCTATGCATTCCAGACTTCAGGCTGTAATTGACTACAAAGGATTTGCAACCAAGTATTAAAAAGTGAAAGTTTGATTTATGATTATTATTCTGTCCCATTACTTTTGGTCCCTTAACAAGTGGGAGGCACATATGCAAACTGTTGTAATTCCTACACCGTTCACCTGATTTGGATGTAATTAAAGCTGACAGTCTGCAGTTAAAGCACGTCTTGTTCGTTTCATTTCAAATCGATTGTGGTGGTGTATAGAGCCAAAAATGTTAGAATTTTGTTGATGTCCATGCTCACATAAACTGTAATCAACGTTTTTTGACTGGGAGGTTTTTTTGGCTGCAGAAAAAACCCAGGACTAGTGGGTCTCTAGAGGAGTTTTTTAGCTGTAAAAACACTCTAATACTGAAAAATGTGGCAAAACGATGTAAAATGCAGCAAACCGGTGTTTGGGGGTAAAAAAAACACAAAAAATGTAAAAGTGGAGAAACACGGGAAAACGCCGCTAATTGCGGCAAAACGCCGCTAAAAGTTAATGCAAAAATGCTAAAAAAACGTTACCAGTGTTATCAAAACGCCCAGTGTGCATGAGGACTTCACAGAACTCTGTTATTGTCCCTCAATGCATCACTTTCTGTGAATTATTATTATTATACAGGATTTATATAGCGCCAACAGTTTACGCAGCGCTTTACAATATAAGGGGGATAGTACAATTACAAAACAGTTCAGTACAGAAGGAATTGGAGGGCCCTGCTCATGGAGCTTACAATCTAAAGGAATCTAAAGGATTGGGAAGGGTTTCTGTCATTTAGCTGCTGTACTCCAGTTCACAGACCACACTGGATTGTGGGGCGAGAGAGAGGGGGAAGAGTCAATTACGGGGGTGTGTGGAAGTTATTCAGTGTCTGCACAGCAGCCGGATCACTTCCATATGACAGCCGACAGTTGGATTGTCAAATTTACACATACAGTGTCTGTAAGACCACCCAAAGCCAGTAGTAGTAAAAAAGCAAAAGAGTGCAGTAAACGTAAAAGACCAGTGGTAGTAAAAGGGTTAAAGTGGCCATTAGTACTTTATGACAGACTATAGCCTAGTTCAATAGACTTGATAGATCACATTTGATAGCCTATGGCCCTGCTTCCCAGTCTCAATGGGACTTATGATACTGATCTTCTGCTATGGAATTTTAATGGATAGTATGGTGTCTTTAGGCTGAACTGCATGTTGGTAGGGTTATATATGTACTGTAGACATATAAGGCAGAGTTTAGCATATTAAGAGTGCCACTGTGTATTCTTAGTTAGCTTTTGGGGTGCCCCCACCTCATTACTGTCACATCGCCTATTTCATTAACTGGATTTCAGATCTTTCAGTCATGTAGATTCATCAACTTTTTATGAAGGTATGCACAGCCGCTCCCACCAACCATTGCCTACCATCCATTGGCCTGCATTGTACAAAGATTCATAGAGATTCACAGGGACCCAGTGATGACTTCCTTGGGTTTAAAATAAACTTTATAATGAAAATGAAAAGGGTTTATTTAAAAGTGTTATTATCATGTTAATGAAGGAGGATGAACCAGGTAAGGCAAAATATAAGCAAATTAAAGTGTTACTAAACCCAGGACCCTGCATTCACTATATCTGGTCTTCAACAGTACACACAACATGGAAATGCAATTATTTTAGTAAATATACACTGCAAAATACCTTTTCTCATCAGCAGTTAGAGCAGTCTTGTGACTTCTATCAGTGTTCAGCAGAGCACTGGTTAAAGCTTGTAGGAGTTTTCTCTAGGAGGATGTAGAGCCCCTGACCTCTGTCTGGGCAGTGTTTATTGGTCTTGTGCTGATCACATGCACTCTTCCAAGAAAAATAAAAACTTCTCTAGCAATACACACCAAACTGAGCATGTGCAGAGTGGCTCCACACAATATGTTTTATCAGGAGATAATAGGGAGACACTGGAAGAAGGGAGGATTAGAGCAGTCAGGATCAAACATCCATTTTACACAATGCAAAGGATTAACCCCTTAGGTTCCACAGCGAGTATAACAAGCATGCTATACTGCACATACAGACTGATTTTACTGTTGTGGGTTTAGTAACACTTTAACCACTTGCCTTCTGGGCACTTTTACCCCCTTCCTGCCCTATTTCAGCTTTCAGCACTGTTACACTTTGAATGACAATTGCGCGGTCATGCAACACTGTACCCATATGAAATTGTTATCATTTTCTTGAGACAGAGCTTTCTTTTGGTAATATTTAATCACCTCTTGTTTTTTTTATTTTTTGCTAAACAAACCAAAAAATTTTGAAAAAAAAAGTTTTTTTTCTTAGTTTCTGTTATAGAAATTTTGTCAATAAATGATTTTTCTCCTTCACTGATGTGCACTAATGAGGCTGCAGTGGTGGGCACTGATAGGCTGCACTGATGGGCACTGATAGGTGGCACTGATGAAGAGGCACTGGTAGGTGGCACTGATGGGCATTGACAGGCATCACTGATGGACACTGAAAGGCAGCACTCATATATGGCACTGATAGGCAGCACTGATAGGTGGCACTGATAGGCGGCACTGACTGGCACTGATAGGCGGAACTGACTGGCACTGATAGGCGGAACTGACTGGCAATGTTAGGTGGCACTGACTGGCACTGTTATGCAGCAGTGATGCACATTGATAGGTGGAACTGACTGGCACTGATAGGTGGCGCTGACTGGCACTGATAGGCGGCACTGATTGGCAGCACTGATCGGCGGCACTGACTGGCATTGATAGGTGACACTGACTGGCAATGATAGGTAGCACTGAAAGGCAGCTCAGAAGGGCACTGATATGTGGCATTGATGTGGCACTGGTGGGCACTGGCAGGTGGCATTGATGGGCATTGACAGGTGGCATTGATGGGCACTGACAGGTGGCACTGCTGGGGCTACACTGATCATCAGGGGCACACCCTCTTAGGAATGCCGATTACCGACTCTCCTCTCCTCGTGAGGAGAGAAATGCCGATTGCCGATGCATTTTCTTATTTACATGCGATCAGCTGTGATTGGACACAACTGATCACATGACAGAGCCGAAGTCTTTGGCTGTTTCCATTGATTGGTGATCCGCTGTGTCCCAGGGACACAGCGCAGCACCGATCGCCACACTGCGTGCCACCGGGGGGGGTGCGCACGCGCGGTTAGAGTGGGAGGCCGTCATATGACGGCCTCCCAGAACGAGAGAACCACCTTGAGCCCGTCATTTCCTTATATGGCAGGCGGGAGGCGGTTAAACTTCAGATTTACGTTTGAGGTGGACAGTGGGTACAAAAATTACAAAACAGTCAGACGCCATGAATGGCCTATTTTGCCAGAGCTTATTGTACGCCTGTTAAATTATCACTTCAACTAATCAGGAGGAAGGGCGGACTGACAACTCATGGGGCCCCCGGGCAATAGGGGATCATGGGGCCCCTGTGTCCTTGTCCAAACTCAAAAAAGCCTATGAAAAAGGTACCAGGGGCATCTCATGGGGCCCCCTACTGACCCCGGGCCCTCGGGCAGTGCCCGAGTTTCAAAATGGTCAGTCCGCCCCTGATCATGAGCTAATAGTATTTTGGTCTACATCCCCTATGTGTCATGATTATGGACAAATAAAACCCTGCTCAACAAACCTACTGTACGTGAATTTGTAAAGCTGTATTTCATGATTGTTATTATTTGTTTGCATATGGGATATAGAGAGTTTTCTTTTGTTGGATTTGCATTAAGTGTATTCATATTTCTGACGCTTGCCTTAGTCAAATAAATGCTCAGTACTTTATGAACAAATCCAAGTAGGTGGTGATCTAAAGTCCCTTTATTGTCTTTTCAGGTAGCTCACATATCATCTTGTTTCACTTCACAGTATGAGCTTGCAATAAACTATAAACACAACACTGGTGAGTTCTGGATAATAAAAGTAAAATGTCTCTCAACTGGCACAGATGAGCTTAAAATGCTTATTGTTATTAATGACACTTCTCTGGAGTATAATGTCATCGGCAAGTTATAAAGAACAAGGGCTTCACTACTTTAAAATGATGTGTTCTTAGCGCAGAGATTTATCCTAGAAGGAAATTGCAAACATATTTCCTAGCAGATATTCCACATGCATTTATCATTGAAAATGGATTATGCTAGTCAGCCTGCAAGTATTATACAGGGAAGGGAGTAGTACTGAATCAAGAGCATTAACATGTTACTCTAGACAGCTTCTGTGACAAAAGTCATATTAATGGGTAACTCATTTATAAGTTTGGAACAACATAGGTAAGCTTTTATAATAATACTGTATATACAGGTCTTTTAACACTTGTTAGGAAGTGAGGCCAATATTTCACATAAATACTTTACTATCAACTCACTTTATTTTCTTTACGGTCCCCTGTCAAATTAAAAACAGGCAAGGTACCAGTGATGACAAGGCCCAACTCCTGCAATCAGAAACAAGAACATTTGTTATTTACAGTAATTCAAAAATCTAAAATAACATACAGGGGTTGATTTACTAAAACTGGAGAGTGAAAAATCTGGTGCAGCTCAGATACCAATCGGCTTCCAGGTTTCTTTTAGTCAAAGCTTTATTGAACAAGCAGAAGTTAGAAGCTGATTGGATACCATGCAATGCTGCACCATATTTTGCACTCTCCAGTTTTAGTAAATCAACCCACAGTATTAATCATTTAGTATTTATTTATTTCCAGTATTTATTAGGCAAAGCTTTACTGAGCATAAGAAATCATTCACATTAGTCTCTAACCCTGAAGGTGTTAATAATCCAATGCCCCTACCATGAGATGTGTGAGGAATGCAGAGTAACCAGAAGACATGCACTCAAACACACTGCACCTGCTGTTTCTAGACATTATTTCTCATGTTACTTAGTAACTGGTTGTTAAGGAAAACAATGCACTGACAGGAATTACTACTATTTGTGAGGACTTGAAATTAGCTTGTTAAGCAGATAAAAGGACATAAAAACATAATAATACATAATATACATTTGGGGTGGCACAGTGGTGACGTGGTTAGCAATTCTGCCTAGCAGCACTACCTGCCTGCAGTTTGCATTTTCTCCCTGTGCCTTTGTGGGGCCTTCCTCCAGGTACTCCGGTTTCCTCCCACGCTCCAAAGACATGCTGGTAGGTTAATTGTCTCATGTCTAAATTGGCCCTAGTATGTGTATGTATGAATGTAAATTAGGGACCTTAGATTGTAAGCTCCTTGAGGGTTAGGGACTGTACATATTGTACATGTGAATGTACAATAAATGTAAAGCACTGTGTAAATTGGCAATGCTATATAAGTAACTGTAAAAATATATAAATAAAATAATAAATACTTAAGATTAAAACAATTTGCATGAAAATTGCAATGTATGACTTTGTTGCCTAGAACATTTTTGGTAAGCGTTTACAATTTTTTGTATATATTGTATTTTTTGTAGGGCTGCCTCATATTTCACTGCCTCTTCTTCGTGTACAGCAAGGCTAACTGACCTTCTATTCCTCCTGGGTCCTTGCAGTGCAGTGTACCATCATTTTCATAATTGTATTGATGTTTGGTGAATTAAGGAGACCCTTTCACCAGACGATTCATTTCACCAACAATTTTTTACAAGATTTTATGTTATGTCATTTATCTATAAAAGACTCCCTTGTGAAGCCTTCAAAAATGCCTGAGAGTGCTAATGGGCATCACCATCTTCGATGTATAGAAAAAAAAACTTCAGCGCAAAAGGTACCTCCATACAAATGTGCAGCTAGCATGTAATGTGTTCCCACATATAAAAAATACATAAATAGTGTAAAATTCTGCTGGGCATCACCATCTTCAATGTGCTGTCAGCAGTCCCCACAAACTCAGAGCTGTCACCCAAGAGACACACTATAGTACTCCATTCACTCTTCAACCAGCATCAACATACATGTTTATGTAGAGAGGTAAAGGAAGTCCTAAATAGGCCAATACAGACAGCAATTATACACTCCCAGAAGAGAAGGCAATGGCGTACAAAGACGGAGAAGGAACTGTGGCTGCACTAGGGAAACAACTGTCTCTGGAGTGGTTGAATTCCCTTGAAAGTTCAAAGGCCCATTGCAAATAAAAAAATAGGGTTAAGAAAATATGCCGCAAGCAAGAATTCAGAAAACCTGAGCTGCCTGTACATTGCCCACAATTGCTTCAGTCGGAGACACAATCCCTTTTAAGCTGCATTGATGAGGAGAAATGGGGGCAAGCTTTCATTCACGACTGCCTGTGTAGTACAGCTCATAAGCAGTACAGACCCTTCAACCTCATTCACTTTGGTTTGTTCAAAGTACCAGTTGCACACAATGGGAGAGCTTGCACGTCAAAGAAAAGTTGTTACCTATTCTGCCACTGTAGTAAACATTTAGAATAAAATTCTGCAGTAGAATGTGTATGTAAGGCAATAATCTATATGGATTTAACTATCTCATGTTAAAAATTGATAAACTATGAAGACCTTTACACTTTTTGTGAATAAAGTACATGTAAAGTAATTTTATTTTTGTTTTGGATAGAGTAAGGAAGAGCTTGGTCAAGTCCTTTTTGATGTCTGCAACCCCATGGGGGGGGGGGGGGGGGGGGATTTACTATTCTTTTTTGTTCCTGAGATCATTTTCACTGAGATAAGAGAAAATCCAAAAAAGCTGTGAATTCTGTCTATTTTGGAGACATTTATTTTAATTTCCTGTTGCATCTTCAGGACAGGAAGTAAAAGAAAATCTCCCCAGATGGACATAGATGGCAAAAAAAGTTCCTAATAGCAGTTTTAAACCTTCCGTACTTTAACTGACCATCTGACCATTTCCCATACTGCTCCAACATCTGGCAATGAGAATGGTATTGCCAGATATCTTAGGGTTTACTGCAAATCACAACATGCTAGTAGCTCTCAGGCTATTGCCTGGTCTCGTACCATAAAAACTCTATGGTTTTGATTGGCAGTTTATCCCTTCAAACCTTTCATGTACAATCGTAGCTGCCCTCTCCAGCTATAAAAAGGGTTACCAAGGTCTGAATCATTCTGCAAGGAGTAGCTCATAATTTATTTAGCTATATCATTAAAACAGCAGCTATAATTAATCATGTATTTCTCTGTACGATCATTGAGATTTATACAGTTAGGCAAAGCACATGCTTCCTGGCTCCATAAAAGTGCCTAATGGCTTCTAGATCTGATTGACTGACTCATGAAATTTACATTTGTATGTCCACCCCCCAATAATAAGTGTAAATTTCATGAGAAGCTTATAAGGACTTAGCCCTATATACAGAATTTAGTTTTCTGCTTTTTTTTTTTTTACAACACTTTTATGTCATTAAAACAGCCACATATATTTCTATAAAAATATAGCTGCCTACAGTATGTATCACAAATATAAAATTATTCTATTAAATGTGCCCTTTTGCATGTAATATGGAGATGTCATAGACATCTCTATTGTACTTGCAAAAGTGGAGTTGTTTGAAATGTGGAAAGCCTCACATCACATGTCTACATCCACATCATGTATATATTAACCTAAGAAGATATCTAAAACCAGAATTTTAAATATGGATATATACAATGTACCTACATTGGCTACAGAAACAGTAGTCTCATCTTCAACACTTAATATCACTTAATGGTTTGCTGTAAAACAAATAAAGCTCAGCATAACATCCTCCAGGTTTCCAGTAACAAAATGCTCAC